GTATTAAAGACTCATCACTTCTTTCACAGCAAGAAGCTAATCAGAGCAGCGTGTGATGGAATGGTATCAATAAAACAGAAGTCACCATCTTATAAACGGTTTCATGGGAGCCAAGGATCAACTGAGGCCAACTCATGAAGTTATTTCAGGTGGCTCCCAACCAAGATCGCTTTCTGGAAGAGCTCTTCCACAACAGGACAGTCCTGGAGAACCTGTCCTTCACAGTCCCCATCCCCCACCAGCTGCACATATGCCTTTGTGTTCATGCTTGATCTTTGTCAAATATGGCTGACAACCATCCCTTGGCCATATAGGCAACCACCAGTCTGGTTGTGCCTGATGGCATTCCTTTTAAGAAGTATAGGCTAGGCCCACTGCCTCACACCTGTAATCCTAGCACACTGGGAGGCTGAGGTGGGTGGAATGCTTGAGCTCAGGAGTTCAAAATCAGCCTGAGCAACAGCGGGACACTGTCTCTACAAAAAATTAGCCGGGCATTGTGGACTGCACATTGTGGACTGCACGTATAGTTCCAGCTACTCAGGAGGCTGAGGCAAGAAAATTGCTTGAGCCCAGTAGTTTGAGGTTGCAGTGAGCTATGCTGATGCCACTGTACTCTATCCAAGGCTACAGAGTGCACTCTATCTCAAAAAAAAACAAGTAGTGTACAGAGCTAGGGTTCTTAATGTAATACCCATGCATGGGCTTCTAGGTGGTACATGGATGGCCTTCATATAGTCAGTGAAATCCCTGAAACCCTATGCAAAATTTTGTCTATGAGTACACTTTTTCTGAGGAGAGAACCCTTGGGCAGTCAAAGATCCTCAGAGGCTGTGAACCAAGGAAAGCTAAAAATCACTGGTATAGTCCTAGGTACGAAACAGAAGAAATCTACAAAAAAGGGCCTATGTAAATGAGATAGAAAGTAATGCCTTTGGGTGTGGTGGCTCACGCCTGTAATCCTAGCACTCTGGGAGGCCAAGGCAGGCGGATTGCTTGAGGTCGGGAGTTTGAAACCAGCCTGAGCGAGACCCCATCTCTACTAAAAATAGAAAGAAATTAATTAACCAACTAAAAATATATATACAAAAAATTAGCCGGGCATGGTGGCGCATGCCTGTAGTCCCAGCTACTTGGGAGGCTGAGGCAGCAGGATTGAATTTTTTTTTTTTTTTTGAGACCATGAGTCTGCTTTTGTTGCCCCTAAAGGCTAGAATGAGTGCCGTGGCATCAGCCTAGCTCAACAGCAACCTCCAAACTCCTGGCTCAAGCAATCCTTCTGCCTCCAGCCTCCCAAGTGCTGGGACTACAGGCATGCGCCACCCAATGCCCGGCTAAATTTTCTATATATATTAGTTTGGCCCATTAATTTCTTTCTATTTATAGGTACGAGACCGGGGTCTCGCATCTTGCCTCAGGCTGGTTTCGACCGTAAGTCCTGACCTCCCGAGCCATTCCGCCGCCTCGGCTCCCAGAGAGCTAGGATTACAGCGTGAGCCACCGCGCCCCGGGCCTGCAAGGCTGTGATTTTACAAATTTTAGAGGCTACTTTCTTAGTGGAGTGGGATATTTACATGGATATGGAAATTTTGATTAAACTCATTCTAAAAAGTACTAAGCATATTTTTACATGGTCTGGCATCCTGGCGAGAAATTGCGCTACTTTGATGCTCAGCTTGCCCACTTCTAGTAGTTTTGTGATGTAGGTTTGGGCCCAGATCCCTCCTGTTTCACTTTTCCTTCTCCAAACTAGAGGATGTACGGAGTGACTACACCTGGCCCCGTAAAAGACTACAGCTTCTGCTCCATCAGATTGGTTATTCCGCTTTTGTTTTGAATAGATGGCAACCTTTTGTTAATTTTGCAGAATTTTTTTTTTTTTTTGAGACAGAGTCTCGCTTTGTTGCCTAGGCTAGAATGAGTGCCGTGGCATCAGCCTAGCTCACAGCAACCTCAAACTCCTGGCTCAAGCAATCCTTCTGCCTCAGCTCCAAGTGCTGGGACTACAGGCATGCGCCACCCATGCCCGGCTAATTTTTTCTATATATATTAGTTGGCCAATTAATTTCTTTCTATTTATAGTAGAGACGGGGTCTCGCTCTTGCTCAGGCTGGTTTCGAACCTCCTGACCTCGAGCAATCCGCCGCCTCGGCTCCAGAGAGCTAGGATTACAGGCGTGAGCCACCGCGCCCGGCCTGAAGCTTGATTTTAAAATTTTAGAGGCTACTTTCTTAGTGGAGTGGGATATTTACATGGATATGGAGAATTTTGATTAAACTCATTCTAAAAAAGTATAAGCATATTTTCATGGTCTGGCATCCTGGCAGAAACCTGGCCTACTTTGATGCTCAGCTTGCCACTTAGTAGTTTTGTGATGTATGGTCTTGGGCAGATCCTCTGTTCATTTTCCTTCTCCAAACTAGAGGATGTACGGAGTGGACTACCTGGCCGTAAAGACTACAGCTTCTGCTCATCAGATTGTAGTTTCCTTTTGTTTTGAATAGATGGCACCTTTTGTTAATTTTGCA